ACACTTGTCAAATTTATCACAGCGGTTCCCCCTGAACCATTCATCTACAAACCTTTTCAGACACTGAAACCCTCTTGGGATCTTAATACTTGGGAATTCTTCGCTTGCCTAATTCTTGGGCACGACCTACTTCCACATTGTCACAAATGTGACACCGCCTATGACTGCTGCACCTCTCCTACCAACGGTTTATAAGCTTCTCCGCACGTATGCCGTATTCTATTCAAGATTGATGGACTGACCACATCGACTCAAGGTTGAGGGACTGATTACCTCATTCTCCTCCTGTTCTTCAAGATTCTCCTTTGTATCGACTGATGAAACCACTGTGTGGCGAAACGTTTCCTCAATAAAGATACCCAAGAGTTGCACATGTGTCTAATTTATCAACTCTTGGATTGCACATGTGTCTAATTTATCAACATGTCGGTTCTCTGAACCATTCATCTACAAACCTCTCAGACACTGCAACTTCTTGGGATCTTAATACTTGGGACTCTTCGCTTGCCTAATTCTTGGGCACGACCTACTTCCACATTGAACAAATGTGACACCACCTATGACTGCTGCACCTCTCCTGCCAACGGTTTATAAGCTCCTTCTCCGCACGTATGCCGTGTTCTATTCAAGATTGATGGACTGACCACATCGACTCAAGGTTGAGGGACTGATTACCTCATTCTCATCCTGTTCTTCAAGATTCTCCTTTGTATGTACTGATGAAGCCACTGTGTGGCGAAACGTTTCCTCAATAAAGATACCCAAGAGTTGCACATGTGTCTAATTTATCAACATGTCGGTTCTCTGAGCCATTCATCTACAAAGACTTCAGAGATGGTGAAGCTGCCGTTGTTTTATTTAATTGTATTCGAAACAGCGATCAGTGCTGAATCGAGGCACTAGCGTCTGCGGAAATTAGTAGTCTTTGATCACTAATTGGGCGTCCCTGAATTTCATGAGATGATTGGTGGAATTTCGATGTTGTACACAGGCGTTGTTCAAGTTATCGTTCCTGCATGCGTAAATTTGTTCATTGAGGCGGGTGTCGAGGTTTCTTGCTGTTTCACCTACGTAAATCTTGTCACAGCCTCCACAGGGTATAGTGTAAACTCCTGCATTGACTGGTTCGTGGTGCTTGGATTTTGTCCTGGTTAGATCCTTTATTGAAGCGCTAGAGGCGATGGCGACTCTGGTGTTAGCCAAGGACAGTGACAGATTGTGTGATGGGATGTAAGTGCGGGTGTCAGCTGTTCTGAGCTTGACAGGGAATGGACTCTAGGTGTTCCATGTATAAGTTGGCTAGGACGGCACTGATGGGGGACCCCATTCTCATGCCGTAGGTTTGTTTGTAGAGCTTGTTATTGAAAGAAAAACAGTTGAAATTAACACAGAGTTCAATCAAGTCAACAAAATCTCCGGGAGGTAGAGGAAGATTAAGGTCCTGATTGACTTTACGTCGTAGAACCTCGATGGCTTTTGTAGTAGGTACTTTTGTGAAGAGGGAAGTCACGTCCAAACTGCTAGTTTCTTGTTACGGATGGAGAAGTTTCGGATGCGGTTGAGAAGGTCGCCTGAGTGTTTAAGATGAGCGGGGCTGATGGTCCCCAGAAGGCAGGAAAGATGTTTGGCAAGAACTCCGGCTAGTTTGTGTGGAGCACTGCCTATTCCTGTTAGGTAAGACACATATGTGTCTTACCTAACAATCTGTCGGTATTTTATACCATTTTAATGTTCAAATGTTTTGTTAGCGAGGTGGATTGTAAAGGACCTGCCTAGTATGGGCCAACAGACCTGCTGCAGTGTTCCTCTTTTCTTGTGTTCTTATGTTCAGTACTGATCACGTATCAGCTTCATTTCACTGAATATTTCAACAGTATGGAGAGGAAGGTGTGGAGTTCCTGGTGAACGTGTACTACTCAGGAGAGCAGTTTGCTAAGGACCAGTTTGCCCGAGGAACGTCTGCAAGGGTGGGCGGGCTGGCTCCGGGCACCGACTACACACTGAGGGTCAAGGCTTTCAAGGCTCTTCCTCATGCCCGTCGAGCATACAGCGCAGAAAGTGAACCTGTTTCAGCCACAACTCAAGGTTAGAGCAAATATAGAAAGAAAGAACACTGCAGCAGGACTACTGGCCCATGCATGGTATATTCTTGTAAAATCCAAACCCTCTAAAAAATATTCGCCCAACCCATTATAAATATTGCCCAACACTGGACAATATTGATAATGGGTTGGGCGAATATTGTATAGAGGTTTGTAGATGAATGGTTCAGAGAACCGACATGTTGATAAATTAGACACATGTGCAACTCTTGGGTATCTGTATTGAGAAAACGTTTCGCCACACAGTGGCTTCATCAGTCCATACATAGGAGAAACTTGAAGAACAGGAGGAGAATGAGGAAATCAGTCCCTCAACCTTGAGCCGATGTGGTCAGTCCATCATCGACTCAAGGTTGAGGGACTGATTACCTCATTCTCCTCCTGTTCTTCAAGTTTCTCCTATGAATGGACTGATGAAGCCACTGTGTGGCGAAACGTTTCCTCAATAAAGATACCCAAGAGTTGCACATGTGTCTAATTTATCATTTTATAGAGGGTTTGGATTTGAAAAGGATATGCCATGTATGGGCCAGTAGGCCTGCTGCAGTGTCAATCCTTTCTTATGTTCTTGTATGTAGAGCTGCGTTTAACCCTTTAAATTCAAAAAGTTTAGGATTTGGAAAGAACTAAAAACAATTACAAAGTTTGAGCGCTTATCTCACAAACTAATTGATGAATTTCGCTACAAATTGTTCAGGTGTATTTTTCTACACAAATTCGAAAGATAATCGGCTTTTTATGCTTATTACAAATCGAAATATAAAGTACTTAAAAATTGAGACACTTACGCAGCATATGGGAATCTTTATTCAGGAAACGTTTCGCCACACAGTGGCTTCATCAGTCCAATAAAAAGAGGAAGGCGTAAGGAGAGGAGGAGTATGAGGTAATCAGTCCCTCAGCCTGGAGTCGATGTGTTCAGTCCATCAATCTTGTAGAATGTACAGCATAGGGCCGTAGACGTGGCTTATATACTGTAGTGAGGTGGTGAAGCAGGCGGAGGCGGGGTCATAGTGGTACCATCCACTAGTCGAAGTAGGTCTTCGTCCAAAGGTTGAACAAGTGTTGAAGAATTCTTTGTAACAAGATCCCATGTCTGCAGTGGTGTATGTAACAGTTTGGTCGTAGGTATACTTGACTGTTCCGTCCTGTAGGTGCTGATGGATTTCTGAAGACAGCATTCTGTTCTTATACTGCTTGGTTGTGTAGAAGCATACACCCTTCAGGCATCGGACTTGTTGTGGTGTAGCAGTGTCAGTGGCACAGTGAGGTGCATCCGCAGTTTCTTGTGTTTTTGCTTTCTTGGCTGGTGGCTGAACTGGTGAAGGCGAGATTTCCGACTGGTCAGTTGCTCTAGCAGTGGATGCAAGCGGTAGTGGACTCTCATTGGTGGGGTTTGCCGACGTCTCAGTGGTCACTGATTGGTCCATCTCTGTGTCTAGTGGAGGTTGTGACAGCAGTGGAGCAACGGTGATGCTGGTAATATTTGCAGTAGATTTTAGGATCTCAGTGGAAGGTGGTGATGCAGGGAATGTGAGGCCAAGCATATTATTTAGTTTGAAAAGTTCATTGATGGTGGTGATGAAGGACCCAGGCTCAGCTGCATTCTGTACATGAGCATACATAATGCAATAAAGAATCTTGGTGGAGTCGGCAGTAGGTGCTGGCAGGGAAGTGGTGGGAGCAGCTTGCGTGGCTTGTAGTATCTTGGTAGTGTCTGTTTGAAGCTTGGCGATAGTAGAATATGTGGTTGCTTGTGGGTTGGGTTTCTTTTGTTGTTGTTGTTTCTTGAGTATATCTCTTCTGGTAGGGCACCTGGCAGCAAGAGTATGGTGGTCATTCTTGCAGTTCAAGCATTTAGGTGGTGAAGCAGTAGTGCAATTCTTGAAGTCATGACCCTCACGGCCACAGGTGGAGCAGAACTTCTTGTCCTTGGTAGGACAACCATTTGTGGTGTGTAAGTATGAGTAACAATTATAGCACTGAGATATGTTGGAATTTCTCTGCTTCGATGAAGGCTGGGTTGATGTGGAAGTAGTGAATAGCCAGGCCCTCAGCGAGAGCTCTGGCTGCCATGTTGACGTCACTGAAGGTGACCTTCAGCATGGATGAAGCATTGGGTATTTTAATAATGAAGTCCACCTTGGCCGAAGGGTTCTTTACTTCGATAGACGACTTGATTTCTTCAGTGGCCTGTACAGTGATAAGGTTGTAGAGTAGCTTGAGGAACACGGTTCTCCTGGCCCTCAGTGCTGGGGAAGTCAAGACAAGAAATCCCTGGTCTCGTAGAGTGGTAGTAGCAGTAGTGGTAAGTAGTTTCTCAGCCTCTGTGTCGTCTGTACAGGCAACAAAAGCCTCCTTGAGCGATAAAATCGCATTACATTTGTCTTGCAGCCTGCCACTAACGACAGCTGCAAGTGCTAGTTTAGACGACTCATTGGTTGTGCCCACTCGCTGGTTTGATCTTTACTCTGTTAGAGTAATGCATCGTGAGTAAGCACTATGGCAGCATAAACACATATGCAGTTTAATGTGATCCTTTATTGGCAACGTTTCTCCCACACAGTGGGCTTTTTCAAGTTACAAACAGATCTGTGGAGTTGAAGTAACGAACGAACGAACGAACGAAAGTTCAGGTAAGATCCCAAATGGGATGAGCGGGGAAGACGGGACAGACGAAGAATAGTGCTGGAGAGGAGTGTTCTTAGTTGTAGAAATAGAGCCAGGGCTTAACCCAGCAGCGAAGGCGATCGTGGGACAGATATTGAGAAGAGAAATTCAGGCTCTTCTGTTGGGACTCCGGTGGGGGGAGCGGGGAGAAAGGGACATGCGACGTTTAGCGCTAGACAGGAGTGTAGAAATGGGCCATGTCTTAACCCAAAAGCTAAGGCGAATGTGGGTCAGAGAATGGTACATGTCATAGAAAGTACCTGTCAGCGAATTCAAGGTTATTTGTAAATAGGGTTAGGAGAAGGATCATGCAAGGAGTAGAAAAGTTTGTGTTGGTTTGTGGGTCTGCGAATGTCTTCGTCAAGGAGAGAGGTCCAGTAGTCGAGTCGTGTCTCAGGTTTCTCTGTCTGTCACTGAGCGTCTTCCAGTACAGATTCAGCGCAGGGATGTCTAATTGGGCATGGAGAGACTCGCTTGTGGCGAAGTCCTCCCATCTGACATCAAGCACCCAGCGCAGTGCCTTGTTCTGGACACGCTGCAGTTTAAGTAAGTTTGTTTTTGCTGCAAGAGAGATGGCTAAAGGAGAGTAAGTTATCAGAGGACGAATTAGGGATTTGTAGAGGTGTAGTTTGGTGCGTTTAGAGGCATGTTTCAGCTTGTAGAGGCCCGCAAGGGCCTTACTAGCTATTGCATGCCTTGAGTGAATGTGTCCGTGTAAACGAGAAGGTAGTCAAGATTAACACCAAGGACAGTGACAGATTGTGTGATGGGGATGTAAGTGCGGGTGTCAGCTGTTCTGAGCTCGACAGGTAATGGAGGATCACGTTTCCTGTACTTAAAATATGTAATGCTGGATTTAGCTGCATTGGTTTTGATCCTCCATTTTTGTTCCCAGATGGCCATCCTGTCGATCTCATTTTGTGTTTTGTGTGTAAGTGTATCTATATTGGCATGAGTGATAAGCTGTGTAATTTCGTCTGCATAGGCTAGTGTGATGGAGTTGTGGTATACAGGTGTTGGAATGTCGTTAGTGTATAAAATGTAGAGGGTAGGGGAGAGGACAGATCCCTGGGGTACTCCGGCATTTAGAGTGAAGTAGTCAGAGTAACAGCCTTGGAATTTTATTCTCATGGTACGGCCGTCTAGGAAGTTGCAGAGGAGTTTACGAGTATTGAGAGGCAGGTTGAAGTTAGTGCAGAATTTGTACTTGAGCCCGTCGTGCCAGACAGTGTCAAAGACTTTTTCAACGTCTCTTGCAACCAGGGCTGTCCTGTTTCTTTGTTTCGTGTTGATGTGGATGTAGTTGAGAATGATGTTAATGGCATCATTTGTGGATCTGTGTGTTCTGAAGCCAAACTGGCCATCAGAAAGTAGGGAATTATGTTCCAGGTATCTGCGAAGGCGATGACTGATGAGTTTTTCAAAAAGTTTTCCTAAAGTTTCGAGGAGGCTGATAGGGCGATAGTTTCTAGGGTCAGAGTGGTCTTTATTGGGTTTAGGAAGGAGGATAGCAGTAGCAGCTTTGAAGAGGGAAGGGAAGTATCCAGAGGCAAGGGAGGCATTGAGGAGGTTTGTGTAGGCAGTAATGATAGAGCCAGGAAGGTGTTTCAGGATAATATGGTTTAGGCCAGAGGCACCAGGGGCCTTGGGACGAAGGTGTCTGAGGAGAGTTTTAACGTCTGTGTTGGTGAAAGGAGTGTCAAGTTCTTGGGAGAAGGTATGAGAGTCCAGATGGATGTGGCTGTCTTGTTGTTTCGTGTGTGTGTGTAGTGTTCCAATGTTCTATGTTCTGAATGTGTTGAGTAGTGTTAGGGTGGGGTGGGTGAAAGCGGAAGATGTTCTCCCAGATGTGTTTGAAGATGTTAGTAGCAGCCTGCGGGTCTGAGATGTGTGTGTTGTTTTAGGTGATGTGTTTGAATTTGTTGATGGGAGTGGTGCCTCTGATTTTTTTGATAAAGTTCCAGAAGGCTTTGGTGTTGTTGATACGCTGTTTGTCCGCTTGTAGTATGAGCTGTGACCAGTGATTGTTGTGGTCTTGGTCTAGATTGTGTAGAATGTTGTTTCTGAGGTAAGTGAGATCTAATCGGACTTGATTAAATCTATGTGTGTTGTAGAGAAAGCGGTTGTGGTAACAGATAATTAGTCTTCTTGTTCTGATTGAGGGTTTGAAGGAATAACGAGTGGTGTGGGTTTTCTTTGGTATTGCAGTGTTGGCTGCTTGTGTAATGGTGTCTTGGATGAGAGCAAGTTTAGTGTCAGTGTCAGAGATGGGTTTGTTGTTGTAGTCATAGGTGAGGTTAGTATTATCCATGT